ACAGCTAATTCCAGCCAGGAGAGAGCTGTTAGCTCTGATTAAACAAACACAAGGCCTGAACATAAATCCTGTCTAATCTTATAGATTTTTTTGTTGTTTTCAGCTCCTCTTAGATTTGCTATCTCTTGGAAAGATTTAGTTTAAGGCTTCTCTGTGAGCTGGTTGTGGTGTCTGCTTCCAGCGAGAGCAGCAGAGAAGCAAGAGGTCTCGTTGATCAGATTAAATATCTGGGTTGCTTACCATTACCTGTGTTTATTCTCTGGCAAGTTTTGATATTGGAAAAGGACGCGATAAAAGGAACACATGCAGAAAGAGATAACCAGGGCTGGAGCTGCCCCAGGCAGAGGCCACCTTCTAAATGGATTTGTCAATGAGCTTTTCCTATCGGTTTTGAGTCCTGTGTGAGGAGATACCAGGCGAGTGCAAACAAGCTTGTGGCTTTTTTTTTTTCTTTCCCCTTTCCTGGGTTAGTGGATATCCTTGATATCCAAAAGCCAAACTGGACAGGCTTCCCTCCTGCCTGTCTGTCTCAAAGAATAGTCTTAAGCTTTGCAAGTTGTAATGCTTGCTTCAGGAAGTGAAATCATTTCTTTAAGCTTTGTGAAGCCGATAAACTTCATAGTCAGCTCCTGGGTTTCTGTAGCTGCAGATTTTCTTCACTTGGTTATTAAGCTCGTGTACCAAATTCGGCTAATTCTTTTTCCTATACTAAATTTTCAAAGCTGGCGAGGGTTGGAAAGCATTCTCCCAGAATTAGCATTGACGTTTCTACAAAAACTGGTATTCTGGCTGGCTGGAGACCACCGAAGGGAGAAGCAAGTATTCCCATGTGCCTTCAGGTGCCCAGTAACTCTGGCTCAGGCTGTGTAAGCTCTCTGGTGCCCCAATTGCTCTCTCTGTAGCGAGGATGCTGGAGCCTTTCAGGATGTTGCTGCTCGGTCAGCATCCATGAAGAGTTTCGTGAGCTTCGCAGCAGTGCTCGACGCTCAAGGTCGGCTGTGTTAGCAGAGATCTTGGTTACTGCAGGTGTCGGGCAGCACGCAAGGAGCTCCCAGTGCCTCTGCTCCTGCTATGTGGAGCCAAATGTCAGCTTCTGGTCTGAAACCAGCTGCTTTGCAGGACAGCCCGACTCCCTGCAGCCCGCTGAGGAGTGAGTATTGCACTTCAGCAGGCACAGAAATCAGAAACTTCTGATCTGAAACCTTTCTGCAGCACTGAAGCTGTTGGTGACCGGTGCACAGGCTGTGGTCAAGAACCTCGTAGAACTCGGTGGCTGAAAAGCATCCGTCTTGGTCTCAAGCCACACACTCTTTATGAAAGTGAAGTTGTTGTCTGGCAATACGGCACCTCCCTTGATTTTATTCTTATTACCAGCTTTTATGATCTCTGCACTGAGTCAGCTATGAAGTGGAGAAGCAGGCTGGACAGCCGCAGCGCCGGTGCTTGTGCTTTCCAGATAAGAAATGAAGGAAAATCAGAAGCCTAGGATAAGAAATGCCTTCCGAGTCTGTGTCTTATCCAGTGATACCGCGTTTCTGTGCGCTTAACAGGCCAAAGCGCTGTTAAAATCCTGCTGGGTTGAGACCTGACCTCCAGAACTTAGTAAACATGACGGGGCATTTAGACCACAGCTTCGTGTCTTAAAACTTGTAAGGTTTTTGCCCTCGCTCTTTGTATTGAAGAGTTATTGCAAATCTCCCCCTGAGCAATCACCTTCTAATCTCTAGCCCAAGGTTCGCCACGGCTGGTTTCTCTTCCATGCCAGCTGTGTCCTTCAGAGGACATGGAGATTTTCAACCTCCTCATTGTTTTGCATATGTTTTTCTAGAACTGACCCAGTTACTGGATTCCTCTAGTTCTTGCTTCTCTAACCAAGGTCACTTTTCTCCGTTTCCCTCATCCCTGTAGTTCTATCCAGGAATGGTGAATTCAAACTGGGAAGGCCGGAGAGGGGACAAGACCTGCAGCAGAGGAGGTGTCGCCAGCATTTTGCAGGAGAGCACTGAGCACACAGCTGCCTCTTCTGGAGTTGCTTTGCCTGATAAATCCTCGGGTCTCATTTGCTTCTTCTTGGGACTCATTTTCTGCTGTGGTTTATGGTGGTCACAAAATAAGCAAGGCTCCCTCATCTCTCCTCCTCCTGTTGCCTGCTGATGCGTGAGGATTGGGTCAGCTTGTTGGTGTAAAAGATTTGTTGACCCCCTAAAGGTTAATTCCCTGTTGCTTCCATTACATGCAGCTTTTGAGGGCAGCTGGTTTTGATGTGCAACTTCATGGTCTTCCTCCGGGGTTATTGGTGATACCTGCAAAAGTAACTGCCGTGGCTGGTCTAAACGGGGGCAAAGCACCCAGCTTTGTGGAGATTGCTCTGTCGCCTGTGAGCATGGATTCTAGGCGCTGGCAAAAGCTTGGCAGCGTGCCTGGGTGCGTTGTCACTGGGAGGATGCAGAAGTGCCACTGGTACTCAGACTTGGCAGGGAAGGCGTTTAATACAAGACACGCCAAACTCTGTGTTTAGCTATTTTTCGTGTCCAAACGGTGCCTGGGAGTTAGGTGACTCTCTTCTCTGGCCAGGCTGCCAGTCATCGTGCCTACTTCTTTTATTCTCCTCAGTGGGCTAGTTCTCACTTGCCTCTTTTGTCAGTAAATTACAACTGTGGAGGATGATAGCAGCTTTCCCAGAAGAGCTTACGGTGCCTGGCATAAGAGCGCGGAGATCGAGACCGGGATGCGATGCGGTAGCACAGCAGAGTCACTGTGTTCTTTTCCCCCTCTTTCTCTCTCCCGGCTGCTCAGGATGTGGTGCAGGAGCCTGGCGTGTCTGTTCAAGGTGCCGTGCCAGCTGAGTGGAAGTGCTCGACATCGCTCGCCGTGGCTGCCCCGTGGCAGAGGGACCATCCCCGCTGCTGTGGCTCGCTGCCATCACACGGCCCCAGAGTCCCTGAAGTGTGCCTGGCAGTTACACGGCGACCACCTCGGTAGGTGTGCTGGGTGCATGGGTACCTGCTTTGGAGTCTGTCTGGGGAGAGGGATGAGATTTTCCTGACCTTGTTCCCTGGGAGTGATTTTTTTTGTTTGTTTTTTTATTCTAATACGGCCCTCATGAGAGCGATGCACGCTGGAGTCTGCGTTTCACGTTCCCTTTGGGAGTTCCCAAAGGCAGGACAGAGCAGGTTTGTCTGCTGGTAGCAAGACTTTTACAATAAATGAAGCAGTGCTAAATCAGAAATCAAATCAAGGGATTCCTGAAAAATAACTGCACTTGAGCCTTGCCCTGGCAGTCGCTTGCTTTCTGTGTGATGCTCGGGGCTCTGACTGGCAGGCGGGACGGCTGGCTTGGTGTGTGCCCTGCTCTCTCGCCCCCCACTGTGCAGGTTTTCCTTAAAAACACAGTTGTTGGAGCAGGTTTGCAAGCAGCTCGTCTGTTTGTGTGGCTGGACGGCAAGAGCAGCGGCAGGCAGGGGGGGAGAAAAGCCTTTTTGACGCAAATCATACTTCGCTGTGAGACTGCTTAAAGAACAAGCAAGGCGAGCGTGTCTTCATGTGCATTAACACCACAAGCCAGTTATAAATGCTGTCTAATGCTGATCTTTGTCCTTTTGGTTTCGGAGGTGGCTTGGCAACTGAGGCACGTGTTTCCCCATGGCCTGTCTGCCTGGGTGATGGCTAATCAGGCTAGCTAGGTGGTGGTACTCTGAGGCACGTATAAGCAAAGGGAATTAATTGCTTGGTACTTTATCCAACCCATGGCCCCGAGAAAGGATATTGTTTTCCCACTGCAGGGTGACCGCAGATACTTGGGTTTCAAAGGTGAGCAGCACGGGTTCTCCCATTGCCTCTGCTGGCTCTGCCCCCCTTCTGAAGGGCTTTGAGTATTCCTAAGCTGTTCCAGGGTGGAACAAGGAGGAGAGGCTTTATTGTAATGCTAAATGGATATCAAAGCTTTGCATCCAGGGCTTGATGTTGTCTGTAACGTTTGTATTTCTTCACCAAAAGGGTTGTTAAGCACTGGAAGGGGCTGCCCAGGGAAGGGGGTCGAGTCCCCACCCCTGGGGGAATTTAACAGCTGGGCAGACGCGGTGCTCAGGGACAGGGTTGAGTGGTGGGATGGCAGGGGTAGGGTAACAGTTGGGCTTGATGATCTTAAAGGGCTTTTCCAACCTAAATGATTCTATGTTTCTATAATTTGGGCGCTGGTATGATTATTTGCTTGACTCTTACCTGTATTCCTGTGCTGGGGTCTGCAACTACATGGAGGGGGGGACGTTGTTATGTACAACAGCTTCTGCACAGCTCTGAATTTACTCCTTGTCGAAGAGAGATGGCAGATGTAAGCGTGTGACCAACACGTTTGTCAGCCGTGCTCCTTCCTGCTGCGGGATGAGATTGCCTGTAGACTTGGTAAAAAGGGAGACCGTGGCGAGATCACCGACAGCCAGGCCTGCCATGAAGATGCTCATCGGACGACAAGCTAGCTGAATTCACGTGTGCAGAGGGCCTCTGCATCCCCTATAAGTGGGATCGTGACTTGTGGGCTTTCGGCTTCAGTTCTTGGCTTTGTTTTTCCTCACTGTTCACACCAGCGCATCTTTTGAGCCTGTCCTTCTTCGCAGAGCTCCGGTATGCAAACACCCTGATGCGATTCGATTTTGTCTGGCTGCGGGACCACTGCCGCTCAGCTTCCTGCTACAATGCCAAGACCAACCAGCGCAGCTTGGACACAGCTAGCGTGGACCTGGGAATCAAACCCAAGGCTGTCCGAGTGGATGAGGCCAC